TCTGTGGCAAGACTTGAAAATTGCTGTTCACAGACGTCCCCCATCCAATCTGACAGAGCTTGAGCTATTCTGCAAAGAAGAATGGGCAAAAATGTCCCTCTCTAGATGTGCAAAGCTGGTAGAGACATCCCCAAAAAGACTTGCAGCTGTAATTGCAGTGAAAGGGGGTTCTACAAAGTATTGACTTCGGGGGACTGAATACAAATGCACCCCACACTTTTCACATATTTATTTGTAAAAAATGTTGAAAACCATTTATCATTTTCCTTCCACTTCCCAATTATGTGCCACTTCGTGTTGGTCTATCACATAAAATCCCAATAAAATTCATTTATGTTTTTGTTTGTAATATGACAAAATGTGGAAAATTTCAAGGGGTGTGAATACTTTTTCAAGGCACTGTGCCAATGTTGCAGCCATTGCATTATATGTTCTTGCCTTTATTCAAAGGCTCTTTGGTTTTTTGCTCCGCATCAACTGGCCCCATATGCTGTTTACCCTTAGCTGTATTTTGCTTTGCCCTCACTTTGTTTTTTGTATACACTCCCCCTTCCTTTTTATAATTTTTTGTATGTCCTATTATGAGGGCATGTTTTATGTTTTTATTTTTGCATTTTGTCTGTTTAAAAACCTCAAAAGATTAGATTGCACACAAATAAATGGAATTCCGCTATGTGTTTCCCTTTACATGGCAGTAAACCATCAGCCTGAGCATTATCAGTACACTAAAGGAGTGATGCCAGAGGAGGAACACAAGTCCCAGCAATCCTAGGAGTGCTGCTGCTCTAAAAGAGCAGTCCCAGAGGAGGAATACAAGTCCCAGCAACCCCAGGATTACTGAGTATCAAGTGCATATGACTCTTATTTCATATGTAAGAGTCCACTACTGTAGGTGAGTGAGTGGGAACACTGGAGGGGAGCAACCCACTGCAAAGACTTTGCACATCACTTAAAGGAATAGCACACAGCACTACTAAGAGACTACACTTTTGTTTATATGGAAAATACAAGTGGATATGAACAATGTTTTGCATGTCTTTAAATGAATATGTTGTTTACACATGGTAGTATTCAATCAGACAGCACTTTTGTGTCTGTTTGCAAGGGATAAGTTAGTAAAACTACTGTATGGTGGGAGGAGAAGCCACGCTGCATGGGTAGTTTGGATGTTCTCCTGGCTTCAGCTTTAAGGCGGTTGTAAACACCAATAACGAAAAGTAAACTGAACATTTTAACTAACACAGCAAAGCAGCACAACTCATTTGTGCACAATTTGGCAGGGAAATGAGCAGGCTGTCATCTGTAATCCTCCCTGCTATGCTACTGGAAAATAATCCAACACATGCAAAAAAAAAAAAGGCCCCTGACGATGTCTTTCTTATGACGAAACGTGTCCAGTGGAGCAACGGCGTGTGAAGTCCTCACGCAACGTACCGCGGCCATCTTGTTGGTTAACAATGATTGGTTATATTGAATGCCATTTTTATCAGGATCTATGTAAGTGCAATATGTTTTATTAACTTTGAATTGCTGAAGTATATTACACTATGGGGTGGTTCTGTTCTCTTTTCTGCCTATGCGCTTGAAAGAATTCAACATCTGTGTGGCCGAATTCCTGGCTGTGTAGTGCTGTGGATAAGGTCCTAATTGGAAACATTGGAGATCTCCTGCCAGAATTGTTTAATCCATACGTGGTTTGACTGCTAGATTAGTAGTCAACAAGTTGCGGTAAGAGGTTGTGTGTAGTTTGATGGTGGAGGATCCTTTCTTCCCCATTCCTTCAGGCGCACTGGTTGGGGGAGCTCCAGGAGTATCTATAGGACACTTTTTTAGAACTACACAATTGGACTTTTATCATTATGTTTTATATAATGCGATTTATTTGGGATAACTAACGCTGCATTTCATGTATTTAAAAAAAAAAAAAAAGTGTCATCACGCCCCCTTTTCTTTGATTGACAGACATGCAAAAGAGACTCATGCACGAGCATGAGTGAAAGGTGCTGGTGTCTCCTGCTGCCTCAGCCTGAGTCTGTCTAGTTTCAAGTGCTTGTAACCCTCATATACGTCAGTTCTCAAAGACATCTCATTATTTTCATCTCTAGGACTGTCACAGCTCTCTAATCTCCAGTCCTTGGGTACCAGAGTCCTGACATCCCTGGCCCCACCTCCCAGCTACACACACCCCCCCGCAACGGGGAGTGATGTACACACACACTTCAGCACTGTGCACACTGCTAAGCCAGTGCTAGTGTGCAAGTGTAGAGCTGGAGGTGAGGCCAGTGATGTCATGACTCCACCTTCAGAGCTCCGGTCTGTAGACACGCCCACAGACCAGAGATTTTCAGAGAGCTGTGATAGGCGCAGAGATATAAATACAGCGCTGTAGCGCTAACTCCTTAGGAGTCGCTGAGTTTTGCGTCTCCCTATAGTCCTGCACAGCCAGTCAACATGCATTTTTCCACATAGACCTTGCATACAGGAAATAGTAACCAGTCCTTGAGCTTGTTTTTTTTTTTATTTTATTAGAATTTGAGCTTGGATGGGGTGAGGGGTGTATGGGATGCCCAAGGGAACAGCAACTGAGGATAATATTCCTGGAGCTGTGTATAAGTCTCTTTAACTGTACAAATTCTGTTCTTGGAGAGCTAGCCAACATCTCCACCCCAGACCCCAGATACTCCTCTATCCAGCTGTCTGAAGGAATCCCTGTGCAGGGGATCCAGTGCCTGTCACTTTAAATATAAGACAGCCCTGGGTAGCAAGCTGATCCAGTTTCCCACTAGATTGCCCCTTCCCCTTTCTGGCCCAGGGGATGCAGGTTTACTTACGCCTCTTGTCTATGAGTTGATGAGTTGGTGGCTGCTCTCGGGTCTTCTGCTGGGCTGCTCCTTCCCTGCTGCACAGATGGCCCTTGCTCTGGGGGCCGATGAGGTACTGAGCTTTCCTCCTTTCCAGCTCCATTGACTGTAGGTGAACCTCTTCCCATCTGGGCCCCCTCCCAGAATCCTGCTCTCTAGCCTCTCACTTCATCTTCCACCAAAGCTCTCCTGCTACTGAGCAGGCTCTACCACATTTGAAGGCTACCCTGGTCCCATGCCAAGCCTCCTGCTTGGGTCTTGGCCAAGGTCCTCCAAGTGTGCAGGCCAAGTTTCTCCTCACCCTCGCCCACTGCTTCTAGAATCTTCTCCAAGATTCTAGAGCAGGGGGAGGTATCACGGAACTGGTCTGCAGAGCCTCTCAGGTCTGACTGAAATTTGGCCCTGCTAGCTATCACACCCAGGCTGCTACTGCGCTCTTCTAACTAAAAATTAAACTCTAGCTCCCCCTGGCTATCTAGAGGGACACTACAGTGCTTTGGATTTTGATTGAACAAACTATGAAATAGTGCATGTCTTTGAGAAATTATGCATATGAGGTTTATAACCACTTTAAAGCTGAATGCCATTGATGGTCTTAATTGCACATTTACACTGGTCCAGCTTGGCATAATGTAGCTATGCGTATCCCATACCTAAGGGACCACTGTGGAAGCTGACAATCCCTGTAGCACTTGGTGCTACTAAAGTGATTGCCACAATCTCTTGGGCCCATGATGTCACTGTCCCTCCTCTCCACCTCAATCAAAGAAAGCCTTGTATTCACCAAAAACACACAAGGCATTCTGAAAATGGCAGTAGTGATGAGTGAGCAACCCCATGTGGTCAGTGTGAAGTGGGGCAGTTGCTTGGCACAGGGCCGAAAATTGCAGCAATCACAATAGTACCACTGAATAGTACAGTGATTGTTGGCTTCCCCAGCGGTTCCTTAGGTATGAGATAGGTATATTTACATTGTGCCAAGCTGGACCAAAGTAACTACAGCTAAAAAAATACCAGGAGTTCAGCTTTAATGAGACAATGTGCACGATGCAGAGATTAATGGCAGCCAGTCAGAATCCACTTTTCACTGATCTGACAAAGGTAAATTGATGAAAACTTATTAGTCACATGACAGGTCCTCTTTATACTGCCATACATGACAGGTCATCCTTATACTCTCATACATGACAGGTCCTCGTTATACTGCCATACATGACAGGTCCTCGTTATACTCTCATACATGACAGGTCCTCTTTATACTCTTATACATGACAGGTCCTCTTTATACTCCTATACATGACAGGTCCTCTTTATACTGCCATACATGACAGGTCCTCTTTATACTGCCATACAAAACAAGTCCTCTTTATACTCCTATATATAATAGGTCCTCCTTATACTCTCATAATTAACAGGTTTTCTTTATACTCCTATACATGACAGGTCCTCCTTATACTCTCATATATGACAGGTCCTCCTTATACTCCCATACATGACAGGTCCTCCGTTTACTCTCGTACATGACAGGTACTCTTTATACTCCTATGCATGACAGGTCCTCTTTATACTCTCATACATGACAGGTCATCTTTATACTGCCATACATGACAGGTCCTCTTTATACTCTCATACGTGACAGGTCCTCTTTATACTGCCATTAAAAAAACAAGTCCTCTTTATACTCCTATACATAATAGGTTCTCCTTATACTCTCATACTTAACAGGTTTTCTTTATACTGTCATACATGACAGGTCCTCTTTATACTCTCGTACATGACAGGTCCTCCTATACATGACAGGTCCTCTTTATACTCCCATACATGACAGGTCCTCTTTATACTCCCATGTATGACAAGTCCTCCATTTACTCCCATACATGACAGGTCCTCTTTATACTCTCATACATGACAGGTCTTCCCATGGCAGTGAGATCTCATGATGATGCTACCTTGCCATGGTACATGGAAACCTTTTTTTTTTTTTTATAGAGTCCAATATGGCCATTACACTTGTGAGTCTTGGCTGCCATAGGGCCATAGAGTCACAAGACCTCTAGTATCTGAGATGTATACAGTGTGTATATATATATTTATATTTATTTTACTTCTTTTTTTCCCCCTAATTTGGGATGCACATACCATGCGTTGCTGAGCCTGGAACTCCCTCTCTCTCTCCAGTCGATATTGTTCGATCTCGCCCTGTGCCTCCTCCTTTGCCTGCTTCAGCCGTCGAGCTTTACCTAGAGAATGAAGAGATCAGGATCAGTTGTGGAGGAACATTCATCCTTCTCATCACCCATCCAAACAGACAGACAGACACCAATCTTACGTTTCCTGGCCTCTGCCACCCTCTCGGCTGCTCTCTTCTCTGCCTGCAGCAGCTGCTGGATGCCCTGTGACTGGCTGGTCATGGTGCCCTGTACAATAAAATGGGATTTCTATTCAGGATATGGCTTTTAGATTTATTGGGATCCTCTGTGCAGCTGTCAGTGTGTCCTCTGTGCACAGCCCTTCCCCCTCCCCTTGTGTTCTGCCTTCATCCTCATCCAGCATCATCTCCTTATCCCTCCCCCTGTAGGTACCAATGACAGACTGTTCTCCTTCTCCCATCCTCAGCGTCATCTCTTCCTCCCTCCCAATGAGGACCACTAATACACCGTATACTGACTCCTTCCCTGGCACCCTCTCCTCCATCTATTAATCACCACTACAGTTGTGACCAAAATTATTCAACCCCCACTGAAATTGAGTGTGTTTTGGCCAGTTTGACATTGCTTTTGATCATTCAGTCATCTTGCTTACATTTACATTAAAGAGGCACTTGTAGGTCAGACAAATATAACATAACAGTTATAATGAAATAACCACAAATGTCTTTTCTGTGCTCACAGCATTATCAGTTTTATTCAACCCCCAAGTGACATTCAATCTTAGTACTTAGTACAGCATCCTTTTACAGTTATAACAGCTTTTAAAACGTGAAGCATAGCTTGACACAAGTGTCTTGCAGCGATCTACGGGTATCTTCGCCCATTCTTCATGGGCAAAGGCCTCCAGTTCAGTCACATTCTTAGGCTTGCGCACTGCAACTGCTTTCTTTAAGTCCCACCAGAGGTTCTCAATCGGATTTAAGTCTGGTGACTGCGATGGCCACTCCAAAATGTTCCAGCCTTTCCTCTGCAACCATGCTCTAGTGGACTTGGAGGTATGCTTGGGATCATTGTCCTGTTGAAAGGTCCAACGTCTCCCAAGCCTCAGGTGTGTGACGGACTGCATCACGTTTCCATCCAATATCTCCTGGTACTGAAGAGAATTCATGGTACCTTGCACACGCTGAAGCTTCCCTGTACCTGCAGAAGCAAAACAGCCCCAAAGCATGATTGACCCTCCACCATGCTTCACAGTAGGCAAGGTGTTCTTTTCATCATAGGCCTTGTTCTTCCTCCTCCAAACATAGCGTTGATCCATGGGCCCAAACAGTTCTAATTTTGTTTCATCAGTCCACAGAACACTATCCCACAACTTTTGTGGTTTTGTCCACATGGCTTTTGGCATACTGCAGTCGACTCTTCTTATTCTTTGGAGACAGCAAGGGGGTACGCCTGGGAGTTCTGGCACGGAGGCCTTCATTACGCAGTGTGCGTCTTATTGTCTGGGCTGAAACTTCTGTACCCACATCTGACAAATCTTTTCTCAGTTCCTCAGCAGTCACACGGGGACTTCTCTCCACTCTACGCTTCAGGTAGCGCACAGCAGTCGAAGTCAGCATCTTCTTTTCTGCCACGACCAGGTAGCGTTTCAACAGTGCCCTTTGCCTTGAATTTTGCGAATGATGCTTCCTAAGGTGTCTCTTGGTATGTTTAACATCTTTGCAATCTTCTTATAGCCATTGCCCTTCCTGTGAAGAGAAATCACCTCTTCTCTTGTCTTCCTGGACCATTCTCTTGCCTTCACCATGTTTGTAACCACACCAGTAAATGTCTAGAAGGAGCTGAGTATCACAGTCATTTTAAAGCTGCCTAATTGGTGCTTATTATGCTTGATTGCTGCTCGGTGACATCCACAGGTGTTTTCAATACCTGATGGAAAGCACCTGTATGAACCTCTGTTCTTCAGAGTGGTAGTCTTTAAGGGGTTGAATAATTGTGGCAATGAAGAAACCACATAAGAACCATTTACTACTGTATTACATAAACAATTGATGTCATTTTAGTTGCATTTTGGGTAGTTACAACGTCCTTGTAGGATTTGATTCTGAATACAATTCCAAATGTACACTATAGTCCCTAAACCCCTTTACAGCATTGGGGGTTGAATAATTTTGGTCACAACTGTATGTCAGCCTTACCTCCTCTATCCACTGATCACTACCACCTCCTTCATCCTTGAACACTACCATAACAGCACCCCCTTCTCCAATCATTGATTACTACCATATCAGCATCATTGATACTACCATATCAGCATCACTCCCCCCATCCATTGATCACTACCAAACACTTCCTCCATCCACTATATAGACATCATCTACATATCACTACCATCCTCCCCCCATCCATTGATCACTACCATATCAGCACTACCTCCTCATCCACTGATCACTACCATAGACATCAACATCTAATCAGCATCCCCTCCACCATCCACTGACCACTACCATTAATATCAACATCACCTCATCCACTCCATCCATAAAAGAAATAACTGATCACTGCCATATAACAACATCATTTTTCCATCCACAAGACCACTAATCAGCATCCCCCCACCATCCACTGACATACCATACACTCAACTCCGCATCCCCTCCACCATACCATATCACATCACCTCCTCCATCAACCATCACTGACATATAACCATATACTATCTCCTCCATCCACTGATCACTACTATAAGAATAATCTACTCCATACTGATATCTACTATATCAGCATCCCCTCCACCATCCACTGACCACTACCATATCAACATCCCCTCCACCATCCACTGACCACTACCATATCAACATCCCCTCCACCATCCACTGACCACTACCATATCAACATCCCCTCCACCATCCACTGATCACTACTAAAAGAATAATCTACTCCATCCACTGATATCTACCATATCAGCATCCCCTCCACCATCCACTGACCACTACCATATCAACATCCCCTCCACCATCCACTGACCACTACCATATCAGCATCACCTCCTCCATCCATTGACCACTACCATATCAGCATCCTCTCCACCATCCACTGATCACTAGCATATTAGCATCACCCACTCCAACCATTAATCACTACCAAATCAACATCACCTACTCCATCAACTGTCCACTGCCATATACATAATTTCTTCCACCCATTTAGCACTACCATATCAGCATCACCTCCTCCATCCACTGATCACTACCATATCAGCATCACCTCCTCCATCCATTGACCACTACCATATCAGCATCACCTCCTCCATCCATTGATCACTAGCATATTAGCATCACCTAGTCCAACCATTGATCAATATACCAAATCAACATCACCTACTCCATCAACTGTCCACTGCCATATACATAATTTCTTCCACCCATTTACCACTACCATATCAGCATCACCTCCATCCACTGATCACTACCATATCAGAATCCTCCCCATCCGTTGATCACTACCATATCAGTATCCCCTTCTGCCCATTGACCACTGCCATACCAGTGATATTTTCCTGCCTCTGCTCATGTAGTCACCAGTGACACCCAGCATCTTCCTTCCTCCTTCCCTTCTCTGCATCCTCACCTCTGTCCCTCCTCATCTTCCATCCCTGGATCAGCACCACTCTGCCACTCTGCTTCCTTCTTACCAATAGATACCAAAAAAAAAAGACCACATCCTTTCCCTAGACATGGCCATACACTATACCAAGGGTATTAAATTAAAATTCAATAAGGTCTGGTCACTAAAATTTTCTTCCAGCCGAGGTCTGAATTTCATGTTTGTGCCCCTATCAGTGTAACTCATTACATTAGGTGCCCCCATCAGTGTACTCTCATAAATCAGGACATCTGATCAGAATACCCTCATATATTAGTTGCCTCTATGAGACTATATCCCCTTACACCAGGGGTCCCCATCAGAGTACCCCCATAAATCAGGAGCCCCAATCAGAATACCCTCAAATATCAGTTGCCCCATTAATGTGCCCCCATAGATCAGTTGCCTCCATCACAGTACCCCCATAAGTCAGCTGCCCCATCAGAGTATGCTTATATACCAGTTGCCCCCATCAGAATATCCCCATAGATCAGTTGCTCCCATCAGAGTATACCTGCAGATCAGCTGCCCCATCAGAGTAAACCTATAGATCAGTTGCCCCCATAAGAATACATCCAAGAACTGGAGATGCCCATAGACCCAAAAGAGGTGGAATATTTCATCTACTTAATTTACATCAGTGACAGTCTCAGGATGTCAATGGCCTCTTCTCGATCACCATCTTCAGTGGATGGTGTAAAGATCTGAGATGTCCATCAAAGAACTGGAGACCTCCGATAACCCAAGAGAGCATCAGTGAGAGTCTGAGGCTGTCAATGACCTATTTTTCTACTACTAACAGAGAGTCATCCTTCAATGGATGGTGTAATGATCTAAGACGTCCATTTTATGGTGAGAAATCTTTATGTGAAAAAGCCAAACTTTTTAAGGTATACACATCAAGAAATTATACAAAACATACATTGTATTTCTCATGCAGGGATATAAAAACATTGTGACAATTTATTTCCCTTTTACCAAGACGTTCATAAGTATAACCCCATACACTAACTGCTATTGATTATGGGCAGCACAGTGGCTAAATGGTTAGCACTTCCACCTAGCAGTACTAGGGTCATTGGTTCAAATCCCACCCACAGCACCACCTGCCTGGAGTTTGCATGTTCTCTCTGTGCCTGTGTGGGTTTCCTCCAGCTGCTCCAGTTTCCTTCCATATTCCAAAGACATGCTGATAAGCTAATTGGTTCCTGTCTAAATTATCCCTAGTATGTGTATGTATGAATGTGAGTTAGGAACCTTAGATTGTACACCCCTTGAGAGCTAGGGACTGATGTGAATGTACAATATATGTATATCTGTAAAGTGCTGCATAAATGGATGGTGCTATATAAGTACCTATGATAAATAAATTATTAAATTCAAAACCAGGGGCGGACTGACCATTTAGAAAGTCGGGCACTGCTCGAGGGCCCGGGGTCAGTAGGGGGCCATATGAGATGACGCTGGTACCTTTTTCATAGGCTTTTTTGAGTTTGAGCAAGGACACAGGGGCCCTATGATCCCCTATTGCCCGGGGCCCCCATAAGTCGTCAGTCCGCCCCTGTTCAAAACAGATCCATGTTCCATTACTGTGTACTGTGTACCAATATAGGCTG